GGTTTCCGTTATGGAGAGACCGATCGATGGCAGGTGGCGATACGATCGCTGTCGTACGCCCAAATATCAGGTGAATAGTACGGATTATGACTCATTACACAGTCGACAGACTTGGGCGTGTCTTATTGTGTGTGAGAATGTATGTGTGTATGTTAGCTCATAGCGAAATAACCGATTTGGCCGAACTTAGCCCTTGTTTTCTTTGAATGTATGAGGAGCTTTTAGAAAGGTCAACACTCAGGAAGTGTCCTGAGTGTGAGTCCCGGTGACGGCAGTTTATAGAACTAGGGAACCAAGCACGATAGGACAACTGCACCTGAAGGTGTGGATGACTTCTCGAGGACTCTGTTCCATGGATACGCTCTACTTTAAGAATTACTCACAAAATGTTTTGTGATTATGGGAGACTGTTAATACATAGGGATATTAATTTCTGTGTTATAATATTATAGCCTACATTTCTTTTCATAAAATCTACTTACTGCATTTCGTATGTTATTTTTCCGCAATACCTTCTTGTGCGTAAAGCTGCCTTTGCTGTGAGCTGCTCCTTTATTAATAGTTTATTTAACGACGCGTCGAATGAGAATATGACAATGAATTGGAAAGAATGTGGTCGTGGCCTAATTTAAGGTACTATGGCGGCATTTACCTGAAGGGGCTGAGGAAAAAATCACGAAATCCAGTTAGGATAGCCGGTCCTAGGGCCGCGATTTGAACATGGGACCAACCCGCATACGAAGCAGGGGTCCTAACCACTCGACCAAGACTTTCGTATAGGCATGCTTCAACTACGGACTTCCACTCGTTATTTTAGTAACATTCTTTTGCAACAGAGTGTACTGCAGGTGCAAATCCGCCCAAAGTATTAGAGCCTCGCAAAACCCAGACTGGTTTTCTTTTGAAACTGTAATTTAAAAACTACGTTCATTACGTGAAGTTCTGTCTTTATAGGCCCAGTTGAAATAAATATAAACCTTGAGCTGAAACGAAGGGACATTTCGTAACGTCGTGGCTTGCTTTCTTTTGTTTCGTGTGATTCTGGTTCCTAATGAGTTCTTTGTTTCTTCCGTGTAATTCCTCTAAAATGAACATTACGTTTTCTTGTTACAAACTAACAGCTGCTTTGTTCCTTATCAAACAAAGGATATGGGTATTTTATTTTGTGTCCAGTTGTGGGATAATTTAGTGAATGCGTAATAATTTTAGACCATCTAATGATAATGATGTGGTTTTATGGACGTAACTAATAACAGTTTTACTGTTAAATAATAAATTGATTATCTACGACCAGCGTGATGAGATTATGATGTGAGTGACTGGATAATGACTCGCACACACAGAAAAGCCATAGTAGTCACAAAAAATGATAACAGCTGTGAACCCTCGGTGTATCGCGTTCACACTAGTTAATCATTTATCATCGGAAAAACAAAATCGAATGCATATTTCACGGGATTACCATGTTATATTCAGTTTTTCACAGAACTCATGTATACATAATTTCTAATTTGATTCTTCACCACACAAAATTACAGGACTTTTTATTAGGGTAGTAAAGTGTAGGATGTTGAGTTGGTTTGGATATATATTCATTGTTGCAATTTCAAATTTGATTAAGATCTTGTAAGATCCTTTATCGGACATATCAGGACTCCTTTGTTAGGGTAGTAATATATATGTGGATGAAATGCTTTGGACACGTAGCACGCACGAGACATGAGGAATGAATAGTTGGGGGATTGTATTAGAATGGGTCTTAAATACGATGGGAGGAAGTAGACTGGGTCAGGATAGATTCCATTGGCACTTGTGAACAGGTTTCCATAAAAGACGAGGAAATTTGTGAATAAGTGACTGTCACCTTTTCAAGAATTATTCTGCTCCTTGGAATCAATCTAATATTCTTTCACTGTAAAATTTCTTATGGTCGCAAGATGGATTCGAAGTCAGGGATTCAGGATACACAATCTCCAAACAAGATACACAATGATGCAGAGGTCATTTCTGTCTTAATAGCGGAGGATAATTCTGAATTCTGACTCGGTTTAGTTTCTCGTTTCCTCGTATGTACAATGAATATGCCGCCAGTGCTTGCAACTGCAAATGCCTAGAAAACGAGTCGCTGTACGTTGTACTCCTGTTAAAAGACACAGTCGGTCGACGCATTTGGAGAAGGTAAATTCTGCAGGCTTTTCGACAACTGGTGTTTTTGGTAGATCGTGAAATACAGCCGACGAAAGAAGAACTTTTTAATAATTAAGTAGTTCGTGTAGTGTCGTTAAGTAACCAGTAAACGTCATGAAAAATGTAAAAGCTGCCGTTAGCCTATGTGCTCATTCAGTTTTCAGCAGTTGTTGGACGTGCTATACATACAGGTGAGTACTGCATTAGTGTGTTTTTCGTGTTAGCACCGTTATTATTCACGGTGATCTGTATTGGTATAAGAAAATTACATTGACTACGTCTTTTCTTAATTGGATTTCTGGTTCGTGCTGTGTCGATGTGGTTGAGATGCCGTTGAGGGATCAAATGCTGTAAGACTTGTGGACATTTCGGAAGTGCTTTGTGCGTCCATCATCGTCCTGATGATGGACGCAGCAGTTACCTCTGAAACGTTGGTAAACGTCTACACGGCGTAACATTTCGGAAGACTGTCAGTTGTCGCCGTGAGAACCCAAAATCTCACCAACAGCATAGTGAGTTAAACTGCAATATTACGCTTGTTACTTGTCATCATTGCCTATAACGCCAGGGTCAGTATTGCAACCTGAAGGTATGGAGTTTTTTTAAAAAAAAATTGTTTTCGCTTGGGTGCCTTGGATTTCAATCAACTCTGACCCTATAAAATTAATGGATTTGGTTTCAGGTTGACTAATAAATTAAGCATTTGGTTCACTTAGCTTTAGGAAATTCTGTTTCTGATAACAAGCACGACTGGTACTTATAATTGATTCACGCTATTCTGCACCTGAGATTATTGAACATTACAGGGAACGCACCGAAGTTGGATCGAAAGTAGTGCCTTCACATTTTCATTCATGGTCGAGGAAGACGCGAACACTGGGAAAGTTCATGTCAACATTACACTTACGGGGAATCTAAGAGCGTTTGGGATTTTTGGGGTGTTTACTAGCGTTGGGCTCAGAATATTTTTAGCATGTCGCCTTGTATCTTAAAACGTAAAGATTAAAATGTACAAACCTATAGTGTGGATAAAATCAAAGTAATTAGGAGTTTCATAATTTTCTGTTCCCACAAAATAATATTATGGAGATCAAATCATGGAGAATGAAATAGTCACGGCATTGACCTGCCTGAGAGATGATGACTGACGCCTACATAACAAAAATTTTAGTCGTAAAATCTGAATGGAAGAGATCACGGAATATCTGAGCATGAATGGGAGGATACTATTAAAATAAAGATTACAGTCTTCTAGGATATTGATCTTTGTAGTCGCATAGGATTTGACCTACGTTTCAGAGGTGCGTGCTACTTCTGTCATCAGGGCGACTCATCCCCTTGATGGGGGCAGTATGTACCTCTGAAATGTTGGTAAATTTCGATGAGATCGCACAGCGCGATATTCCAAAAGGTTGTAATCTTCATACTGGCTGCCACGAGAACCTGAAATCTCAACACTAAAATGTTTTTAAAAATTAATATATTGTAAGTGTAAGGACTAAATTCATCTGGATATTGACGGGGTTCGTGGTTTCTAAGCTTCGGTTATTTTTTTGTAAAAAAAAAAGTTACTCATACAACACGCTTTATCGCTTAGCTTTGTCTGTATAAAGCCTTCGTATAATGTCGGAATGCTGAATGGACGGATGCCGTTGACTCAGATAAAATTCATATTGATAATAATAACGAAACGAGCTGGCTACGCAGTTGATGGGTTGAGGTAACAGAAGGCGGATCGTATCGCTGGTGGTAACGAGTTTCGCATAGGGGGAGTGATGGGTGCTTGTCGCCCGTAAAATTTATTAGCTCCCCATCCCCATTGTAACTTCGCGTGTGTAGTTTAGTTCAGTCTCTTTTTTTTCAACTTTTTTCGGTGGTTTGGTAACCGTGAAAAATGGCAGCAATCGAGATTTATTCTTTTTATACTTGTACTACACTATATTATTTTGTTGGAAGGCTAGACAAGAAAAAGCAATATAAACGTAATGATTGCAGAGGAATATGTTTATCGTAGAGCCTGTCGTCTCTGCGTCTTGGCGTCGTACTGGCGACAGAGATCCCCTTTACCGTCTATAGTGTGCAATTTGATATATTTTTGAGCAGAGACGGACTGCTTGGTTATTCGTCTCCAACAACGTATAGCAACAGTTCAGAATGTCTTCGGAATTGCGCTCGATATAAATCAGACAGTGATAGGAGTGTAGTGGACGAAGACATGTTTTCTTGTGGCACCGGGGCACGAGTTATGACGTGTTTTTTTTTGTACGAAATTCTCCTTAATTTATTTTTGTGTGGTGAGCAAATAAATGAAGTTTTCAGAAATGTCATTAAGAATGGAATTAAAATGCCAAAAGTGAACTCATATAATGGAGCTACAGATCTATTAAGACTGTACTTAATTTGTTTTTCAATTCCTGCCTGTGTAGCAAACTCCGTGGAGAAATATAGTCATTCGGCTCTTCAAGACATTTCCCGCCTTCTATGGAACCCAAATGATCACTGCCTGACGAGATGCGAGGTCTTCGCAGTGGTGCGAGGAGGTCAGGTTGGGGTCTTCTGGATTGTATAGTGTTGCTCACCGTAGCTTGTCACTAGACTCTGTTGTGAGCCAAATGTAACCCGACCACACCCGCGCTCACTTCTTCTGGTCCATATCAGTATCACCCTTCCACTTACATACCCATCTCTCCGAAATTATTTCTCTCCAGGTTTCCAGAAATTCTTGCGCATTTCATTTCGTATACAGTTTGATGATTGATATGAGCTCCTGATGTAGCATAGTTAAATTAGAAGTGTGCCATTTTGTGTTGCAGGATGAATCCAGGAGTGCTGTGGGTGGCAGTGGGGCGCTAAAAGCTGCTGAGAAGAAGAGGTGGATCCATGATCCTAATAGTAAGTGATTCTCATCCGTTATCATCTGCATTGAAAATCCGTTCTAGAAGCAGTCGAGTTACTTGGAGTGAGATTTGAGGTTTTCGCAGAGCGAAGAGATCGATGTAGGCCTTCTGGGTTGTGACGTCGTGTGGACTTCTATGTGGGTAGCAACGTTTCGGAGGAGCGCCGCTGAATTGGGAGACAGTTTATCCGAAACGGTGATATCTACCCACAAGTCGGCACGGTGTCATAAGCGGCAAGACAGTTATTTCCAGAGTTAATTTAAGATTATGAAAACCAACCGATGTATTGGAATATCGTGTAGGATTTGAGATTTTCACGGCGGTGAGTCTGAAGATGTCTGTATTCTGGATTGTTGCGCTGTGTAGTCTGGTAGAGGCGTACCGACGTTTCGGAGGTCCTTGTTGCCTCCAATATCAGGGCGATGATTGCCCTGATGATGGAGGCAGTAAGGATCTCTGAAACATCGGTAAACTTATACCAGAATACAGCCATCTTCTTATTGGAATATTGCATTGAAAATCAAACAGCATTGTATTTTTTTGTGCTTTGACAGAGTCATAGTCAAACATTTTATTTGCTGTTAAATTATTTCTGTAGTTGATATATTAGTTATTTAAGCGCTGTAAATAGGTGTATTTTATTCACACCGTGTGGCGTTTATTGTTCATATTCTTCTGGCGAGACGTACGATTACTAAGAAATTGAGAATTACATTGAAGTAATTTTATCTCTCGTCCACGTATACTTTCAATTTGTACTTGGATTTCTTCAGTGTCGCTTCTATTTTCTCACTTTTCTTTATTGAATCGGAAACATGGGATTCAACTATTTCACGAGTACGTACTAGACTTCTGTAGGAGGTCCTTGAGCAGCTCAGACGAGAGGCAAGTTAATGCCCATTTTGAGCCATTTTGCCGAAGTGTGTGTTCACGTGCTCAAGAATCGCAATAAAATGCTTGTTGTAGGATCTAGGACACCGTGACCCTAATTTAAATGTCAAGTATTTAAGTGCTTGAGACAACATCGTCTGATTACATTTACTCTGTTAAAAATTATGGAATTGTAACCAGGTTTTCAAATAGAACTTCCAAGTTAAGAAACAGCCTTGTTATAGAAGTTCTTTGCTAGTCTTTTGTTATACTTTGTAGCTTGACAGCAAATTTTTTTTATTCTTGACTATAGACCACTGTGGGACGCGTAGTAGGTCTGCAGAGACAGGTGAACAGCAGGAAGGCCAAAACATCTGAATGCCACAGTAATTATAAAATTTGAAATGAATTTAATAAATGGACAGAAATAAAACAGGCCTACATGTTTTGTATTTGAAGATCAGCTATTTATTATTTACATTTATAGTAAAGATGCTTTGAGATGACTTTACAAGTCAATACAGAAACAATCATTCCTCTATTTTAATTACCTTTTTCTTTAAATGTTGCTACGCTGCACCAAAGAGAACGTAGCGTAACTGGAAAGTAGGACCTTACTTGTACCATAAATAAAATGTCATTCCGTTTTCCAGATACGTTGTCACTGTATCCATTGCTTTGAAAGCACATGGAGCTGCCCCACGCCAATAGTGTGACGGTCACTTGAAAACGTTGTATAATGCAGCTGTCCAGTTCGTTGATTATTCATTAAAATGATATTAAATTTATGGTTGCAATAACACCTGATTACACTGGTATGTCATGGTAAACGAACTAATTTTACCTTTAATATTGGTTTCCGTTTGACACACGTAGGATCCGCGTCCATTTGGAAGTATCTCACAATACATATCCGATGCATTTGTGAATTTTAATCGAAATCAATTCTGCATATGTAGGCATACCTTTCATTACACTAATATTGTTCATTATATCGCCAGTACCAGAATAAAGGGGTGGAAGTCTAGAAATTATAACCGAAATTTAATTGCGCCATTAGAGCGTGTATTTATCAACTACCGAAGATTACAGAACACGAACAAAATGCTTTCAGGTAACAACCATGCAAAATAAATAAATCTGTGATTATATGATATGATTTGTTGGTGTATGGCATTAAGATTAATGTTATTCTCCCTTCTACGCTTTGGTTTTGTAAGTTGTCTCTTTCCTTCAGGTTTTCCGAATAGTTGAAGAGGTTACCTATGTGTGGAAGCTGCCTAGTTATTGGCAGCACGTACACCACTGTTTTACTCCTGAACTCTTAATTTTCTCTCCAAATCTTCATTCCCTTCAGTTTTCATTCGCTGTGGGATCAGTCATTTTTAAAATTCAACGAATGCGTAACTAAAACCGAAGTAGAACGATTGAAAATTGTGGAAACGAAAATGCTAGCGAATTAATTAGAGAGAGCAAGGTTGTATTAGGAACGAGATACAAACGAAATGGAATAAAAACGGAATAAAGAAGCACTTGCCATCTTCCATTTCTATTTTTTGTCTCTCTTTCTGTCTCTGTCTGCTTCTTCCAAAGAGGAAATGAGATAAGGAGAAAAGCAAGGAGCGGTGCTGCGATGAATAATTGAAACACGCCGTTGCTCGCTTTGCTCCTCGCATATC